AAGAGGAGGAAGAGGAAGAGGAGGAAGAGGAAGAGGAGGAAGAGGAAGAGGAAGAAGAGGAGAAAAGAAGAAGAGGAGGAAGAAGAGGAGGAAGAGGAAGAGGAAGAGGAAGAGGAAGAGGAGGAAGAGGAAGAGGAGGAAGAGGAAGAAGAAGAGGAGAAAAGAAGAGGAGGAAGAAGAGGAGGAAGAGGAAGAGGAAGAGGAGGAAGAGGAAGAGGAAGAAGAAGAGGAGGTAGTCCGGGTCCTAGAGCCGCACAACTCAGAGGAGAAACCTGCGCCTCCTTCCTCGTGCTATTCACCCCTGGCAGCTTCCGTGCGGCCTCTGAGCCCCTGTCCTCACCTGCAGAATGCCCACGTCCGGGGCTGGAGGCTCCCCAGAGGCTGAGAGCCAGCGCCTGCCTGTCAGGGGGAGCGCCATGCCTGCTGGCGGCTCCGGTGTCACCGCCAGGCCAAGAGCCTGCACTCTGCTTCCCACTCTCACAGAGTTCCCGCCGAGGACAAGGTCAGAGCCAGAAGGTCCTGCCGAGGACAGGAAGGCCCTCCCTGCCCCCTCGTGCTCCCTTCTGGGGGGCCCCGTGCCCAGGGCAGGGGGGAGGCAGTGCCACGGCCCGGACACGGAGCCCCACGCCTGCTGGCACTGGCCGTGCCAGCCACCAGAAATTTTAAAAATCCACCTCCTTATCTCGGGGCAGGTGACATTCGGCCGCAGGAATGCTGGCAGGGTGCCCCCTCCCCCCGCTGGGAAAGATGCTGGGAGGGGAGTGCCGAACCCCCGGCCCCTCCCCCAAAACACCCTCCACGGCTCCGAGACCCTTCAGACCCCACATTCCAGGAGGTTCAGAGCGGCAGGCTGAGCCAGGGGGCCTCCACCGCAGACCCCTCCCCGGGCAGGCCCATCCCCCACCCCGCGGCCACAGGGAGCTCGCCCCGGGGCCCCCAGCGAGCCTCCTGGGAAACCCTCTCCCCACCGGCATTCTTCCCGAATCATTTCCTTATTCCTCCTGAAGACACCTGCCCGGTGTGGTGGGAAGAAATACAAGCTCCCGGATCCAGGGATCCTGGGCTTGAACGAGTCCCTTGCCTGCCCTGTGCCTCAGTTTCTCCATCTGTGCAGTAGGAGTGTTACCCTCACTTACTTCAGGAGGAAGACTAAAACAAGCTTCTAATGAAAAACCACTTTCAAAGCTCTAAAGCGGGCTCTGACGGGATACACCTGCCCCAACACACACACACACACACACACACACACACACACACACACACACACGGCACAGCCCGGGAGGGGGACAAGGCAGACGGGGGCGGGGGGGGGGGGGGTAAAAGGAGCTCCTGTTTACCCAACACTCTGCCCCTCTAGATGGGAACCCTGGAGGCCAGCAACACAGGGCCAGCAGGAAGCAGGCTCCCAGCAAGTGTTTGTTGAATGACTAGTTGACTGAATGGGTGGAAAAGATGATGTCACCGCTGTGAGGGATGGGAAGAGATTAACCCAAGAACATATATACATATAGGCGTAGCCCTTGGGCACAGACAATGGTGTGGGGAGGGCCTGGGGCAAGGGTGGGGTGGAGGGGGTGGCAAGGGAGGGGGATGGGGTCATCTGTAATACTGTCAACAATAAATAATAAAGAAATTAAATTAAATTAAAAGCTCTATTAGACAGGGCAGCTTCCCATCCTCTTCATGTCACGAAAGACAGTGTCCAGCCGAAACCGGTGTGGCTCAGTGGATAGAGCGTCGGCCTGCGGACTGAAGGGTCCCAGGTTCGATTCCCGTCAAGGGCATGTACCTTGGTTGCAGGCACATCCCTAGTGGGGGGTGTGCAGGAGGCAGCTGGTCGATGATTCTCGCTCATCGATGTTTCTAACTCTCTATCCCTCTCTCTTCCTCTCTGTAAAAAATCAATAAAATATATATTTTTTTAAAAAGAAAGAAAGACAGTGTCCAGCATCCCCCACCTGGCCAGCCTGCAGTGTGTAACCTCCCGGGAGGCCGGCCGGAGTGAGGCTCAGGCTTCGGGAGGGCCATGGAAACAAACTTGGGACCGTGAACGCGGCGGGGAGAGGAAGCGGCGCTGCAGGGGGGACGGGCAGCGGAGGCCCCCTCCCCGCCCAGCCGGCCGTCTAGGGGCGGCGGGACCTAGCGGAGCCTGGCGGCGGGAACAATGCCGGGCAGGTGCCGGCCGAGCAGCCTGAAAGGCCCGGCCCGGTGTCATTGTCAGCGCCCAGCCAAGTGCAGAAAAGCAATTTACTGGTCACGCCGCTTGCTCCCCTCGGAAATTTTTAAAATTCTTCCGATTCGAGCTATCCGCGGTGTCCCAGGTCGAGCGGGGAAGGGGTTTCATTAAATCTCGGCTTCCCCCTTCCTGGGGCGGCGGGCGGGAAGACGGGGCCCGCCCCATGGGGGTGGGGAGGACCCCGCCTGGCATTGACTGTGCTCAGGGAATCGTGGCTGGGGGGGGGGGGGGGCTGATGGACGGGCAGAGGGGAAGAGCCCCAAAACTTCACTGCTCCGGTCCCCCAACACAGGGCGGTGGGGGGAAGGGCACGGGTGTGCCCCTGGGCGGATTCGGCTTTACAATACTGCTTGCACACCCATCAGGGCCACCCCGCTCACAAATGAGGGAGCCAAGGCTCACGGGGGTCGGCAGATGGGGAAAGACGGGGTTGCACAGCCCTTCCCCTGAGCAGGAGGCCGGGCCCTGCTCACTGGGGGACCCCCGTACCCTCCTAAGGCTCACCCTGTGCAGGAAGCAGCTGCACTGCAGGAGTCTGCCCGGCATCCCTCCTAGGGGGCAGGCTCAGACTCCCACACTAACACAGCCCCCCACCCCCACCCTGCCTCTCTCTCATGGCCACTCCACCTTTGTGCCCGGGACATGAGCCTGCCAACCTCCTGTGCCACCCTAGGTGCCTTTGGAAATCTGTGGGGAGCTGGGAACCCGAGACTAGACACAAGCACATGTGGACAGGGTTTGGGCGCAATGTTTGGGGGGGCCCCCCCGCCCCATCCTGAGATGCTCTCAGGGGGAAGGGGTTAACAGCATCAGTCCTGCGGCAGCCTGAATGGGGGAAGGCTGCAGAGGAGGGGGAGGCGGGAGAGGGGGCTCCCTCACCTGCTGGAAGTCCTAACCCAGATGGACGGAACCCAGACAGACCACCCAGCTCTTCCCCGGGAGGCCGGCTCTCGCTCTGGCCAAGGAGGTGGAGGTGGGATGCAGGGGCCAGGTTCCCTCCCTCACACTCCCCCAGAGAACACAAAGACCACACAGCAACCCCTCCCGGGCCCCACGTCAAGGATAGAGGGAGAGGCAGCGAGCATCGGGAAGCAGGGGCAGCAGAGTCCGCAGCCTCCTCCCTGCACTGCCCGGCTCTCGGGGAAAGCTCCTGCCCCGGTCAGACAAGCACATTGGCCAGCGTGACCCGAGGGCCTGCCCTCTGTGTAGGGACTCAGCTGCAAACCAGGCAGGCCATGCCTGGCACTGGTCTCTCTCTCTGACACCAGCCATCCCCCACCCCCCGCCGCCCCCGCCCCCGCCCCCGCCACCACACAGGGTCACATCTGCTTTGGCAAACAGCCAGTCTTAAGTTACTGACTCCAGTTGTATTGATTCAAGGAGTCACTGGGGACCCCCCAGCCTGGCCAACAGGAGGAAAGAACCCATCAGTCCATCCATCCATCCGTCCATCCTTCCTTCCAGGCCCCAGCCCCAGCAAGCTGCCCCCAGCTCAATGTCCATCCCGGTGGTAACAATCCTCCCCAGAAGCGGGAGAGAGAGAGGCAGACCCAGCACCAAGCACCGTGCCAGAGGCGGCTGCGTGTCCACGGGCACCGCACACCGCACGCCCGGTGCTGGGACCCTGAGCACCACCCGCTCCCTGGCTCAAGGCCCCCTCAGCACCGCTGGAACCCAGACGCCTGAAGCCTGAGCATCCTCTCTAACCTTGTGAGGACACCTGCCTTCCACCAGAGGTGGACGGGGAAGGCAATCTCTTCTGGCCCTAGGCCAGCTCCTCCGGGGGCCCCTCCCCTGCAGCCTCGGTGGGTGGGGAGGGGCGAGGGCAGCTGGCACTTCCTATTCCCTTTCCCTTTGCACGCCCCCCCCCCCCCCCCCCCCCGTGCTGAGGTAGCCCTGGTCTGGTTCTAATCGGGACTGAAGTCGGCTCCCTCTTCCCCTCTCCTCTCCACCGCCCCCCTCCCTTCCTTCATTTCCACGGCTTTGGAAGCCCGAGTGTTCCAACTGTCTGCGTGCCAAGACCTTCCCGAGTCTGAAAGCTGCTGAAGTAACAGATCAGATTTTAGCAAGTGCTTTCCAGGCCGCGCGCCAAGCCCTCTTCTGATTCACTGGGAGCGAGCGGGGAGCGAGCGGGGAGCCAGGCGGGGAGCCGGCCGGGGCTGCACCACCGCGGGCGGGCGAGGTGTGCGGGGCGCGGGCAGCCTCGCGGAGACACCCCCCTCGGCCCAGGCGCCCTGCTCTGCTCCCCCTCGGACCCGTCTCCCCGCGTCCCCGCGCCCCTGCGCCCCTGCGCCCCTGCGTCCGTCTGTCCGTCCGTCTGTCCCAAGGCTGCACATGCCTTGGAAACCACAGAGTCATTTACAACTGAAGCTAATTTTCCCCGGACTCGACATCCACTCGGCGGCTGAAAGGAGCCTCTTTTTGTTTGTTTGTTTGTTTGTTTGTTTGTTTGTGTTTGGAAGAGCGATCGGGGATGTGGAGGGACGGAGGGCAGAGACAATCCCAGAGTCCCAAGCCCTCCCCGCCGAGGCTGCGGGCGGGGGGCTCGGGGCAGCCCGTGGCCGCGGCTCGCTCGGCCCGCGGACTCCGGGCTCTCCTCCCGGCACCGGCCGGCGCCCCGGAGCGGAGCCCCCCGCCCCCGCCTGCCCCCCGCCGCCGCCGCCGGCGCAGGGCGCGCCCGGGAACAGGTGCACCGGGCCCGGCGCCCGGGAGGGTGGGGCGCGGGGCGGGGGCGGGGGGAGGTCAGAGCCGGGGCCCCACGTACCTGGACCTGGAAGCACAGCAGCAGGACGTGTAAACACCTGCGGGGGAGACAGGAGAGCGGTCAGCGGGCGGCGGGGAGGGGGCGCGCGGACGGGCGGAGACCCGGCCGGAAAGTCAGACGGGAGCGCGGACAGACGGAGCCGGGGGGCCCCCAGACCCCCCACCCGGGCGGACGGGCAGCCCCCCGGGCGCGGGCGCTTACAGGCAAGTGCAGGCGGAGGGCGCTGGATACATCGCTGGGCGGGGGGCAGGCGGCGGCTCCTAGCCCAGCCTGCACATGTCCGCTCCGCGCGGCCGGGACCGGGCGCCTCCGCCGGCGCCGCCGCCGCCGCCGCTGCCGCTGCTGCTGCTGCTCCCCGCGGGCCGGTGGCTGCTGCTGCGGGCTCTGCTGCTCCGGGGCGCCCCGCGGCGCGCCCTGCGGCATCAGCGCCCCGCGCGGCTCCTCCCGGGCGCGGCGCCCTGCGGGCCGGCGCGGGGGCTGCGGGGCGGCCGCAGCGGGGCGGGAGCGCCCTCCGGGCCGGTGCGGGGAAGCTCGCTCGCTGCCGGCCGGCCGGCCGTCCGGGCGTCCGCGGGGAGCTGCTGGCGGCGCGGGTCACGCCGGGGACAGCATGCGCGGCGGCGGGGCTGGAGGCTGGGCGCGCTGGCTGGCCGGGGCGCGGGGCTGCGCGGGGCCAGGGGTCAGCGCTCCGGGGCTGGAGCGCGCTGCGGCGGCTGCGGCTGCTGCACGCCCGCGTCACGGCCGCTCCGTCTGGGCGCCCGCCGGCTCATGTCTCCTCCTCCTCCTCCGCGTCTCCCCGGCCGTGCGCATCGCCGCCTCCCACCGCTGGCGGCGGCCGAGGCGTTTTCTACGCGCGGGCGGGCGGCGAGGGGGCGGGGGGGCCGGGGGCGGGCCCGGGCCGGCACAATGAGGATGCTCGGGGCCCGGGGCTCCCCCCTCGGGGCGCGGCCGGACGGGCGCTCTCAGCTCGCCTGGGTGCGCCGCGCCCACATCAAAGGCGGCCCTGCCTGCCTGCGAGCCTGCCTGCCTGCCTGCCCGCCGCGGCCTCTCTCCGCCGCCGCCTCCTCCTCCTCCTCCTCCTCCTCCTCCTCCTCCTCCTCCTGGCGGCCCCGGCGGGAGGGAGGGAGGCGCTCAGGCACTCGGCGATGGGACCGGCAGCTCCAAAGGGGCAGAGCCCGGGAGCCTGGGGCTGGGGAGCCTTAGGAGCCGTCGGAGCTCCGCGCCAGCGATCAGTGACCCGCGCCGCGGCGCCAAGGGTGCCCGGATCGGGCAGGCAGCGGTTCCGTTATCTGCGAGACGTCCTCGCTCGCCCACACTCCCTCCCCATCCTCACCCCCGCTAGCGCTTGCGGTGGGGAGCGAGGAGGGGGGCGGGCCAGGCCCAGCCACTGGGGCGGCTTCTTGTAAGAGGGGTCACTTCCACCCGCCCTGTGAGTCCGTCCAAGCAGGAGGGTGGCGTGTCCCAGCTGCCCTCTCGGTCACCTGGCCACGCTAAATGACCCCCTTCCGCTCCCTCCTTGCTGCATTCGATACAAACAAGTGCAGAAAACCTTGGGAGGGGTGGGGGAGGGGTCTCCGGGGTGTCTCTCCCCCTCGGGGCTCGCTCGCGGTCGGGTTCTCGGATCCCAGCAGGGCTCCCCCGTAGGCGAGCCAGCTTTGGAAACGCAGGACTGCCATCTAGAGGCTCAGAGGCTTCTCTGCAACCTCAGCCCGGGCTGGCTAGGCAGCGGACCGGGAGGAGCCAGCAGGACTCTGGTCAGCGACCACTCTAGGCCCAATTCTGGTGACCTGGCTGGAGACTGGCTTCCCTTTGCGTGCTCAGCAGTTTGACTCCTTTAACCAGGACCCGCTCTGAGGACATCTCTTCTCGCCGCCTCTGCCCCTTCGGAGGCATCCCTCCTCTCCTCCCACCAACCTCAAAACGATGTTCTTGTCACATGCCACTGCTGGACTGGGGAGCCCCCCTCAGCAAGTCTCTGCCTTGGACACTAAGGGGAGAAGGTCATAGTGGAAAAGAAACTGAACAAGCCCAAAACACAAAGTCCAGGAGTCCAAATTACTGGGTGTCATGGGCTGGGGTGGATGTTCCCATTTCACTGGAGTGTAAACTGAAGCAGGTGCTATGGAACCCTGCTATTCCCTAGTCGTGGAGTATGAAATGGCAACCATTGTCCTAAATACGAGGCCTCTCTGCCGTGATAGGCTCCCTTCCGGAGCTGAGGCTGTCTTAAACAGATCGCCTGTGTCAGCACTTGGACACAAGTGCAGATAACCTTTTCAAAACTAGCTGTCAAGTGGTGGGAAAAGTTCTTGTGTGAAGTGCTGGGCTGAATGCACTTAGACATTCTCATTGCCAGAGCTGGAAGTCCCGAGTCCTAGAGAAAAATGAACCTACCCCAAGATAGGTGCAGTGGCCAGATGCCACAGACATGGACAGAAATGCCGTGCAGGGCCCGAGCTTGCACGTATACGAAGAACTCTGACACGAGGTAATTTTGATCAAGTGAGGTGTTTGGAGTATCTCCTGGCTAAGAATCTTCCAAGTTTTCTGCCCTGTTCGCTATTGCTTTTGGATGGCATAGGTCTCTATGGTCTACCTAAAATGCTTGCCATTTTTTTCAGTGCTCAGATAAAGCGTATTTGTCCATCTCACAAATAAGATGTCACTCAAATACGATGGACCAAAAAGTTGTCAACAGTTCTGAGTAAGGGTATAAACTCAAGTCAGAGGTCCTGGACATGAGTTTGCTTCTAACATTTACTAATAAACTACAGCAGGTCTGACCGCTTCCTACCAACAAACCATGGGTAACTGTTACACCTCAAGTTGTGTTGCTGCATGAAGCCAGACACACATGAAGGCTCCAGGAGGTTTTATCTTTTATTCATTTGCTGATTTCAGGTTATTTTCACATGAAGTTGGGAGGTGTTCAACCTGACTCCAAATCCAGTCATTTCATAGTTTCCACATAACATACGTGAATCTTAAATGTTCTTCCCATCTGAATTTGGCGTGTTCGTATAGCATTTGGGATGTGCCACGATTTGTCACTTCTCATCAATTTAATCACCACCTATTGAGACCCTGTGGAGTGGGTCCCGGGTGAAGGAGGCAAATAAGCAGAGCTGACCGTGCAAAGGAATACTCCAAGCAAAAGACGTCAGGTGCCTGCAGGCAGGGTTGGCCAGGGAGGAAGAAGCAGGTGAGAGTGAGAACAGGCAATGCTTGGTCGTCCCTTGCGAAGGCCTTTTTTCCTAAAAGGTACTATTGACATAAAACTTTTAAATGCATGTTTCAAGTATACTTGGAGCCTAACAAATGCTTAGTTATGCAAACACCTTCCCAGGTAACCTCCCCTCACCGATCACTAGCCCCAAGTTAACACTAATCTATTGGTTCTGAATTCGTTTCACATAAATGGAACCATCTATTTTGTGCTTGTGTCCAGCTCCTTTTGCTCAGCATGTTTCTGAGACTCATCCTTCCTTGCCTGTTGTTGCTTTTATCTATAGATGTTCCTTTTTATTGCCAAGTAGTACTCAATCGTGTGGATATCCCAGTTTGACCATTTATCAAAGGCTTTGAAACTGAAGGTTAAACTCATTTTTAGAAACTGCAGGTGAACTGGCAGTATGCGACTGGCAGCCTGCGCACTGCTGCCAGTCCAGGCCACAGTTCAATTGTTGGGATTAGGTGGCTGTGCTAGTCCCTGCTGGAACCATCAGACCTGCATTTCACCCCCAGCTCTAGGCTAGTGAACTCTCCATTTTCTTTTTTTAAAAATATATTTTATTGATTTTCTTACAGAGAGGAAGGGAGAGATAGAGAGCTAGAAACATCGATGAGAAACATCGACCAGCTGCCACTTGCACAACCGTATTGGGGAAGTGCCCGCAACCAATGTACATGCCTCTGGCCGGAACCGAACCTGGGACCTTTGTCTGCAGACCAACCCTCTACCGCTGAGCCAAACTGGTTCCGGCTGAACTCTCCATTTTCTGAGAGTCACATCTGCAAAATCCCTGGTTGCCTTAAGGGAAATTGAAAAGGTATGTTAACTGCTAACCCCTAGTCCCAGTAAATGTCAGCACCTCAGGGTGTTTTGCTGATTGACTAATGCGCTGAACACTTGAATAATCAGTATATATCCAAACCAGAGGCCCGGTGCATGACATTCGTGCAGGATGTGGGTGTCCCTCAGCCCAGTTTGTGCCCTCTTGGTCTGGGACCTCTAAGGGGATGTCAAACTGCCTGCTCCCCCGAGGGGACTCCCGCCATCACTATGCTCACCAGCTGTGAGCTGGCTTCTGACTGAGCAGCACTCCCCCTGTGGGAAGTGCACTGATCATTAGGGGGCAGCTCCTGCATTGAGTGTCTGCCCCCTGGTGGTCAGTGTGAGATATAGTCATTCTGCCATTCAGTCCATTTGCATATTAGGGATTTATTATATAGATCCTTATTTATTATTTAGATCCTTCCTATCTGGTTTTCAAGTGAAAGTAAACAGCATCTCAATCTATTTCAGCCTCTCTCCAATGATAAAACTCTTCAGTGTCAGATAATCTGCAGAATACAGAATACAAACTTTTTGAACCAAGATGGGAGAACCTTCAGCCTAAGAACATGAGACAAAATGCAGCCTTCCAGTCTTCAACAGGATCAAGCGGTTTAATAAGAGAACACACTTAGCAGGGGAGGCTCTAAAATGTTCTCAAAACCACCTCTTGAAGCTTTGATAGCACTAAAACCTCGACCGCCAAGTTTGAGTCAGGGAGCAACTGGCTCTTCGGTGAGAAATGGCTGGAAGATAGCATTTTCAGAAATAAGTTTAATCCTTTTCTCTCAATGGCCCACACCACTTTGATGATTAAGCTCAGTATTTGCAACCCTCAGAACATTTTTGCCCTTGAATAAAAGCCCCACACCCTTGACAATGTTTATCTCCTTTCACTGAGCTAGTAGTTGTCCAAACCACTCCCTTCTGCAAGCTTTGTGACATACCACTATAAACCTCCACCCATCAGGACCCATCATTTGCACAATCCAGTTCAGACAGTCCAATCTGCTCTCCCCCAAATGGCCTTACTAACCTATTTTGTTCTTTGGAAAGGCTGAAGGTAACAGCTCTGGAGTTCTCACCATGATCTAACCTTACACCAAATGAAGAGAAGCTTCCAGCAGTCAGCCACTAAGTGCATCTCTGCCTCTGCTCAGCTAACCATCAACAAGCAGTGCTCTCACCACTGTGGTCTCTAAATACGTTTTCTTAAGAACCAAAGCTCCTTGAAGAAATGGATCAATCCAGGTCTGAGAAAATTAAGATGCTTGACATCAAAGACACTTTGTGGAGGGGATTCCATTGCACAAGATAAAATACACTGGACTGAAACACAAATACCAAAAGTCTGATTTCAGGATACTTAAACTCACTGGGTACTCTGAGGTTGTAGGACAAGAATCCATCATTCTGAAAATTGGCAAAATAAAACATCAAGAATATTTTTCAAAGTTAGGTACAAATGGAGGCAATAAAATGGAGATTTTAAAGAAAATGCCTGCAGAATAACGAATGGTATTTTGCTAAGGTTAAATCATTTAAAAAAAAAAATTCATGTCGACTGACTTATGGTAAGCATAGTTGATTCAAGCAGCAAGTACTTTAAAAAGACAAACTGCAGACCCACCTAAAGCCAAGTAGTATTCCTAGTGAAACTATAAATCCCCAACTTGATTAACAAACCAGCTTCTCTTAAAGCTTCCTCCACTACTGATCAACATTTTCTCCTAGGATACACAGGAAATTTGTTTTTTTCCTTATTGGTCTTAGGAAACTAACTTTTTCCATAGTAGGTACCTTAATATTTGTCAATTAAAACTACATTGACCCAAGTTTGGCCAATGCCACATTGCCAGTCTGCACTGTGCAAAGTCCATTTTTTAAAAAGGTATTTTCTAAGTTAGAGCCCAGAAATTCCCTTTCCAGTTCATTCTTAATTGGCTAACATCTAATAACTAGCACTCTTAATGACTGCTGGGGCACAGGAATCTAATTTCTTTATTTCCAAATAAATAAGACCTACCTGGAATATTCTTCAAAAGTGGATCTGATTAGTTCTTTAAAATAAGCATGAACCACCGGCACGGCCCATCGCTTCCCCTCAGAATGGTGAAGTCCCTTTGGGTTTCCCATTTAAAAGTGCCCATCAGCCAAACCAAAGGAAAGGTTTAACTTCTACACAAAGCACTACAACTTCCAGACCTACTTTTGGTTAAGACATTGTACTACTACTACTACTACTACTACTACTACTACTCTTTCTATTTTCTGAACATGTTAAGTAATTAATACTAGCAATTACCTACCATACTCCAATTAAACACAGACACTATTTGGGGAAGGAACGACTCAGCTTTAACACAGTAACCTTAATTAATGTGCAGGTTGCTTTCAGTGTTTTACTTGGGATTGTCTTATCAATTTAAAGTAGATGATCTTTTTTTTTTTTTTAATATATTTTATTGATTTTCCACATAGGAGAGGGATAGAGAGCTAGAAACGTTGATGAGAAACATCGACCAGCTGCCTCCTGCACACCCTCCACTGGGGATGTACCTGCAACCAATGTACATGCCCTTGACCGGAATCGAACCCGCGACCCTTCAGTCTGCAGGCTGATGCTCTATCCACTGAACCAAACCGGTTTTGGCTAAAGTAGATGATCTTTTAAACTTGGAAGTATATAAATGTCTTCTAAAAGACAGGAACTTCCCAGTGATGCAGTTTACCCTTTCCTAATGAGCCCCTGTTAAAATAAAGGTAGAGGGAAGTTGTAAGGACAGACTGTGCTGGAAAAATGGGTCAATGAAGAAAACTACAACCTAAAGTAAATGAATTGACAGCTGGAACTGGGACTCAACAGCAAAGTACTGCATCAATCTTCCCCCCACCCTTATCTAAGCCAAGGCTCCCCTGGAAACTCATCCCAATTAAAAGGCTCATGTCTGCAGACCACATCAAAATGTACCTGGAATTGGATAGGCTGGTGCAATCAAAGATAAACAGGCTGAGAGAGGAAAAAGGGAAATGGGTAAATAGTGCATGGAATAGAAGTTTCTTTAGATTTTAGCACACAGCAACACAAATTTGAAGACATTAAATAAAGTCTCTCTCCTGAAGTTTAAACAAGAATCAATCAGAAGGCCTACAAATGAATGAGAGTGAAGTAGGAGGCTGAAATCTCTCAAGAAAATAGTCCAGAATTGGAGACTCTGGAGAACAGACTCAGTCCAGCCAAGGCCCAGAACAAGATTATAAAACATAAAATCTCAGAACCTGCAATAAAAATCTTAATTAGCACACATACACCCCACTCCTGGTCACATGCAAAAAATACATGAAGCCCTAGCTGGTTTGGCTGTGAATAGAGCTTTGGCATGCAGTCCTAAGAGTCGTAAGTTTGATTCCAATAAAGGGTCACATGCCCCAGTTATAGGCTCAATCCCTGGGGGGGCTGGGATATGTGTGTATGTTGGGGGGGGGGGGGAGTACAGCTGAGAATGTAGTTCATTTTCTGTTCTGCTTGGACCATTTGGAAACACATTAGCATGGTTACAATTAACTATTATCAAAAGACAAGAAGGTATAAGCACTAAATACAACAAAAAGTAGATTGGTTAGCTGTGAGAAGCATTACTACTTAGAGGTATAGAGCATAGACTATATCTCATGAGATTTTAGGATACTGTTTGACACTAAATTATGTACATTTCTGATAAAGCATAAAGAGAATAAATTAAATAGACAGTGCTACTTTATTAAAATACTGAGTTTTATTTCACATGTATATTTTTGTCTCCCCACCATTCCCATTTGTCTGACCACTACTACTACTACTATGTCCTATCATAACATTCCATACATACTTAAAACCAAGCAAAGGGTGGAGTTCCAGCTTTAAAAACTAAACAGGCATTTTGGACAACACATTCTTGGCAATGGAACCTGGACAACATTTATCAGACACGGTAGGGAAAGTTCTCACTCTGCATTATAAAAAGGACAGCCAGATATCAACTGTTACAGAAATGAAATAAGACGGAAAATTTTAACAAACTGTTTAAACTATTTTCTTAAAGAGACTTCCTCCACTGCCAGAGATCTTGAATAGCCTGGAAAAAAAAAAAAAAGGAAATGTGGTTAAAGAACCACAGCACTTCACAGACAACCAATAAATTAAACCACATCTCTGTACAGTTCAACATACCTATTTTTCATTCTACCACCAGAAAGGCTCACTCTAGATAATTAAGATTTCTTTTTTAATTTATACAAGTAAAGTATCATTGTCAATTTTAGATGATTTCTATCGGGTGGGGCAAAAGTAGGCTTATAGTTGTGAATATGCAAAACACAGGATTCTTGTATTTTTACTGTGAATTAACTACATTTGTCCCACCCCGTACTTGTTCTCATGCTGGTAATTCAGAAACATCCATGTAAAAATAAAATTCTTCAAGTGATAAAAATCCATTTCATGAGTCATGGTAAGTACAGTATAATCTACTTCCAAGATGGCAGTTCTTTTTCTATTCATAAGCAATGTTCTCTTTTTTTAAAAAGCAGTCTTGATGGGATGTTGTTTTCAGCTCTTAATTCAAGAGTTTCTGCAGAAATTTGCTATTTCTCAAAGTCCATCTGGAAGGGATTTTACTAGCCAAATCCTCACAAGCAACACTTTTTCATAAGGAAAACTGCACAAGCAATGGGAAAATTTTTATGGTGACTCCTTGCTTCTGTAGCTATGCCATAAAAAACGTGAGACATTTAGTTTTGATCATCTCTGTAGTAGTAAACTGAGCTATTACACTCTACTATTGTAGGAATTTCATCTTGGCACTTTTCAGAAAATAGTGAAGATACTTGGGAGTCAGCAGGGAATTCAGTCATTTCAGCTCAAGACTGATGTTATATTGGGTGGAAGGCCATTGCATCTTTATTACTTTTGTCTTCACCTAAATTTTTCTTGATCAAAAATTTGTTTACCACTTTCCTTGGTTCTGGTTGAAGAAACCCTCCTCTCTTACAGTTACCTGTGAGTACATGCTGGTTTCTGACTTTCCACCATTTTCAACATTAACAACCACATACAGCAGTTTTCAAAATGTTTAATAAACGTCAACTATTCAGAAAACTTGCAGAATTTTGAAGTTCAAATACATTCTCCCTCTCTCTCTCTCTCTCTCTCTCTCTCTCTCTCTCTCTCTCTCTCTCTCTCTCTCTCTCACACACACACACACACACACACACACACACGCACACAAAACATAATAACAACCAAAATAAAAAGGTGACCTTGATCATCTCACGGCCACCAACTCAATCAAAGCTGAAATCACAATCACCCAACCATAAAGTACTGAACCACTGAAAGGGTTTCAAATCTGAGAAAAATAGTGCCACCATTTTTGTAATTTAAATACCAAATATTATGGCAGAAAAATAGCTGACAAATTCTTTATTAAAGAAGCTGAAAAGACTTAGGGAGCCCTGACAGAATCGAACTACAGGCTATGTCTGGTATATGCACAATGCCTAGCAACCTATGTAACTACTTTTACATTTTCCTTTATAACCTAAGAGTCACTAACTGTGAACAAGATAAAAATTAATACCTAGTTTTCATTGATAAATACCTTTACTTGTAAGGAACAGAAAGTCTACATTGACTCAAGCTACAATATTGAGCATTAACTACAATTTGGTTTCTTGCTGCCAGGTTTTACACCTTAGGTTCATTTCAGCAAAATGTGCTTCCCATAAGATCTATGGAGAAATGGTTTCCCGTCGCCAACTCAGGAAAGCAAAAGGCCAGACTGCCCCAGCAGCCAAGTGGAGCAGCAAGGAAAACCACAGCTCAGGTCTTAGCCAACTTAGTACCAACAGTAAAACTGAGCTCAGTAACAAAGAGGTAATTTACTAACTATATAATAAAAGTTGGGGAAAATATACTAAAAGTTATCTTCTCAGTCTCTGCCAACTAAATTCTTAAGCATTTCCATGTATTCAATCTAAAGTAATGTCTGTGGTTAGGAATCTTTTAAAAGAAGCCAACACTTAAACTAAAGAATCATAATAAATCACAATAAAAAATTGGATTAGGTCATGTCTTGAGAAAACTCAGTTACCTCCAAATCAGTCATCCGGAAGCAATTCTTCACATAATTAATGAACTTGGCTTCCACTTTGGGAAGAGAACCGCCCTGTTGAGACAAAAGCATTACTAAGGGTGAGTATATAAGCACTATTTGTAAGTTAAGAAATTCCTCATATTTGCATGCTATTATTACATGGATCATCAGTTCATGCCTTATCCCTTCAATTCTTTAAAATCATTGAATACATCTGGGTCTTTCAGGCCCAGAAAGACCTATTGAGTAATTCTTAGGACCTAGGTCTTTCATACCACTCCCATACTGACCAGCTTTGTCAGTTTCAAATTCTCCCCCGATCTTTAAAGTAAATACCAAGCACAAGCCATGCTTTAGATTCTTTAGGCACTTAAATGTCAACTTGGCTGCCTGCTCTATAACCTAACAATTGTTTGAATACCACCCTCTTCCACCCAGAACCGAATACAAAACAAAGCAAATACACACCCCTTTTCAGTACCATATGCACACGTCACCAAAACTGTTAATAGATCACTTTCATACGTACGAAGTACCTAGGCCCAGCACAGTACTAACCCGAGTCAATTCAGGGAGCATATGAATGGGGGGGAAATTAACGTGACATTTCATTCATCTCAAACTAAAGTTTAGCATTTCCTTCAATTATGAGCATAAGAAACCCTAATAGTGTTAGCAACAAATTATTTTTGTAAGAATTACAATTATGAAGTATTTATCACTACTTTGGATTTAATGTGCAACTAAGTATATCACTTGTTATTTCCTCTTTTGGTAATTTTTTTTTCACCCAGTAACTTAAATCCTTTTATGCATTTTAAGAAGGTCAAGATGACTTCAGAAATGCCAAAGGAACCATGGCATGAAGTTGGTTAGGGATCAGGTATGGTACTATCACCTAGAAAGTAATTTCCGTTTTTAAATTATTGTCACATACATTCTTCATTCATTCAAATATTTATTGAGCAGCTAGGGAGATACAAAGGTGTTTAAAACATGGTCAAAGAGGTGAGATAAATGAACAAGTCAAGAAAAGTTCACTGAATCACAGCAAAAGAAAGGTGCATTAGGAGACTAAGTGAGATTGCTTCCAGCCTGGAAGGGGGCATGGGTGAGTAATAAACCAGGAAAGGGCATGAGATTAAAATAGAAGACTTCAGTCTGGATTGTTGATGATACTCAGTATGGACTATATTTGTCTCTCCTTTTCCTCTTTCCCCATCTTTGAGCTTAATTTACCAGTAGTGCCCAGGATTGTTCAATGTGCCTGCAATTAAACCAAGGAGATAGGACCATATTAAAATGCGGGGGAGGGGTATCTAAAAGGTTATTTTAGCACTGTATGCAAGGGATAAATAAAGCAGGAAGGCAAAAAGGTTTACAGTAGTACAAAAGCAAAACCTAGAGGTACATTCAGGCCCTAAAATTTTATTTTTCCAATTGACTTGACTGCACAAGGAAGCCTACTAAAGCATGCAGACCTAGGCACACAGAAAAATGGGGAAAGAAGTCAGCGACTTTCCCTCACCACCACATTTACTCTCAAAAACTGGGGTCTAAGTAACAATTTATAAATGAACACTTTTCTCCAATGTGTTTCAAGATATTTGAATCAATTATCCCATACTCTTCGAGTCCAGAGTTCACAGAAATTTAGTTTAGTGCCCTGGTTAAGTAGTAGAATGAGTCAATCCTCTTCTCACATTTCCACTATTTAAGACAAAAGGAAACTAAAAACCTATTATAGTCAACAAAATACTCAAGATATAAATCTATCAACTGGTGACACCTTGGTATAAAAGGAATGACTCAATTTGTTGGAAAATGTTTTTTACTAGATTCAATCTTAAGTATTTTCTTTTCACTACAACACTAGCAGCCAAAGACTGTGTCTACTTTTCCAGCTTCATAAAAATTAAGACTCATGCGCCCTCTGCTGGCTCTACAGCATCTTACAACCAGAAGATCAGTTAAAGGGAAGTTTTTGTTGATCTTATTTTAACATTTAGGATCAGAATGCATCTTAAACCAACTTACTTATATTTTCTTATAATGAAAAAAATAAAGCACATGTAACTTCAAACATGCAAAAAAAAATTACCAGAGATAAGTGATTGTAACAAATAATTCATTTCTAAAAAACTTTCATATCACGATCAAGGAATAGATGTATTAACGGCAGTACTGTCCCAAACCACCAAAAAAAAATAATCTGAGTGAATGGTAAATAAATCTATCAGTTTCTTAAATATAATTTTACTCACCTTTTCTATACTTGCTTGCATTTTTGCTTTAATGTCTTCTACAGAACTAGGTCCTTTCGGTGTTTTAGGAGTTTTTTCCTGTTTTTTGAAGGATTCTTGACCCTGGAAAAAGTTTAATTCCAGTTTTAAGAAAACAGCTCTTAAGACCCAGCCTACCTAAATGTTTTGTGAAGTTATTCTTACAATCCTCTCTTATAAACACTAGTCAACAGCCAGACTTGAGTTGCTATTACAAATGAATGCAAATCTGAACAATTTTTTAAGTCATTCCTTAAAAAAGGAATAGGGATCTTCGGGACCCAGGTCAGTTCCACACTTACAGTTCCCATCCAAAAGGGAACCATGAAGCAAGGAAGTCAATTCCACCTGATGCCAGGGGCCCATCCTAGAGCACTTAAGTACCATCGCCCAGGTACTGGGGTTCTTTTAATCTCCTTATGTGACTAACATGCAGCCAGGTTTGAGAAGCTCTGCACCATGCAACACATTTACCTTTCAACAAGCAAGATCCCTTACAGGAGGTAACTTTTTATCAAAATAAAAGTACTGCTGCTGGCTTTCTCCCCGACTAAATACAAGTAGCTATACACACTGACAGTGTCATCGACAAGCAGATGTGGCTCTTTGTAGACACCATTACAGTTGTTCTCCAAAAGCCTATCAACTTCCGGACAGACAACATTCACCCACAGTAGAACCTCTAACTTTTCTAACCAGTTCAATGAAGCCTGGATTTGTATGTCCCCACTTACTTTTGATCTTGGTGTTGATGGTTTTGAGTCTTTTCCATTTTGATTTGATTTTTGTGCATTTTTGGCTGGAGTATCTCGTATGGACTGTAATTAAGATTAATCATAATCAGCTCACATACCAGAGTACATAAAACTACCCCAAAGCATGTAAGAAAAGCAGCAGTCAGGCTAAGATGAAGCAATCGTTTTGATGTTGCAAAGGGGCTAGCAAAGAGGAAGAAAGCCGCATGAACAAAGAAAACAAGTCCTTTCCCACCATTAGCAGTTTTCAGGTCAGCCCTATTCAGGACCAACTTCAAGTATGAGGTCATCATTTCCTCCTACAGGCAGCTTTCATTCCTACAAGTCAATAGCACCAAAAATTTCCCAACATTTTCTAGTAGCTATTTCTGACAATCTTCTAGCATTGTATATCCTACTTACTTTCTTTACTGGAGCTTTTTCTTCTGCTTCATCATCATCAAAATCATCATCATCATCACTACAAATGAAATAAGTAACTATTATTGGTGCATTCAACAAAAAAACCTAAAAATTGGCTGCATCTCCATTAAATCACGAATTTTTAAACTTTGGGGGGTTGTCAAGAGTCAAAAGGATCTTGAAAGACAGACATGCACATTCATGTTCACTGCACTATCTACACTAATAAAAGGAAAATGTTACTTGACCGTACCCTCTCTATGCCCACAGCCAATCAGAGAAAGTATGCAAATTAACCCAACAAAGATGGCGGTTAAATTGCATACACTGAGGGAGGAGTGAAGACAGCATAGAAGAGGGAGGGAAAGGAGAAAGCAAGGGCAGGGTGGTGGGACGGGGGCAGGCACTGCCGCAGCCTCTAGTCTATAATAAAAGAGTAATATGCGAATTAGACCAATGTCCTTCAGGACTAAGCTGGGACCAGAGCAAAGCCCAGAGGGAAGCCAGTGCGTGAATTTTCATGCACCAGGTCTCCAGTTATTCATAATTGCCAAGAGGTAGAAGCAACCCAAGTGTCCCTCAATGGTTAAATGGATAAAGAAAATGTCACAAGTACACATGACATTTTGTCTTGAAGGAAATCCTGTCACACGCTGCACTTGGATGAACCTTGAGGACATTATACTAAGTGAAAGACAGTAACAAAAAAGGCAAATACTACACAATTCAACATAGGAGACATCTAGAATAATCAATTTATTTATAGAAACTGGGAGTAGATTGGTGGTTGCCAGAAGCTGGGGAAAGGTAGAAATGGATAGTTTTTGTTCAATGAGCACAGTTTCAGTATTACTAGATGGAAGAGTTTGAGACCTGTAAACAATGTGAATATGGTTAACAGTACTGAACTGTTAAAAATGGTTAGGCCGAAACCGGTTTGGCTCAATGGATAGAGCTTCGGCTTGGGGACTGAAGGGTCCCGGGTTCGATTCCAGTCAAGGGCATGTACCTTGGTTGCGGGCATATCCCCAGTAGGGGGTGTGTGCAGGAGGCAGCTGATCAATGACTCTCTCTCATTGATGTTTCTAACTCTCCATCTCTCTCCCTTCCTCTGTACAAAAATCAATAAAATATATATTTTTAAAAAAATGGTTAGGATGGTAAATGTTTAGTTTTTACAACTAAAAACATAAAAACAAAATTATTTAGGGTTGAGGTAGATGAAAAAAATTGTAAACAGAAAATATCCCATAATTATAGATGTAATATCAAGGTATCAACTCTCCAAATTAATTTAGATTTAACACAATCTCTAAAAGAATGCCAGCTGGCTTCTCCATAATCATTCCTTAAATTATTGAAATTCAAGGGACCCAAAGTAGACAAATAGAATGTTAAACAGATCCAAGCTGAAGGGTTCACAGTTCAACTACAACACAGAAATCAACAGTGTTTACTGGCAAAGGATAGACACACATCAATAGAATGGAATCTGAGTCTAGAAATATACCCATACACAGGTGGGGCAAAAGCAGGCTCAGTTGTTTATATGAAAAAATACAATAAAAAATTTTGTGTTCTCACAACTGTAAAGCTACTTTTGCCCCATTCTATATTTATGGCAATTACTTCTAAAAAGAGTGCCAAGACCATTCAAAGGAGAAAGAAGTCTAAAACGATGTTAGGACAACTTGATATCCACATGCATTAAGAGCGAAGTAGGACCAAAGGTCTAAATGCAAGTTAAACCTATAAAACTTTTAGAAAACTTGGCAATGACTTCTTAGGTATCTTACATGGTGCTTACATAAGAAATTATTCCCATTTTAAAGATAGGAAATCTTCCAAGCCCAAGCAGAATCAAGATACCAATCAGGTCCTACTCTGAAGTCTCCCGGGAAAGGACTGTGGACAAAATCTGACTTTGTGCTATTAGATGTTCACTAATAAACCTACACCAAGGTAACTTGAAATCACCAGACTAACTAAACTCAAGCCTAATTAAGCACCCAGATTTCTCAATTTTGTCCTATATCCAGTTCCCATTCCTCTTGGTACATTATTTTAATCCTTACTAATGGCAAATTTTCTAACAGCAAACACCCATCACATTGGATTTAAAACAAATTTTTCTCAGTATTAAACTCTCAACCTTCCCTTATTTTCTGCCTGTATTCACATGCCCAAAGGGCCAGTTGAGGTTGCTGAAAACCTCTCTTCCAGAGTTGATAGCATTCCTTTTTTAATATGTATATTTTATTGATTTTGTACAGAGAGGAAGGGAGAGAGATAGTTAGAAACATCGATGAGAGAGTCATCGATCAGCACAACCCTACTGGGGATATGCCTGCAACCAAGGTACGTGCCCTTGACCGGAATAGAACCCGGGTCCCTTTAGTCCCCAAGCCGACGCTCTATCCATTGAGCCAAACCAGTTTCGGCCAGAGTTGATAGCATTCTTATGTCTTTCTCTGATTCTATTTAAATATTAATATATATGGACCAACCTAGGACTCAGGAATAAAGTTAGCAAGCAAGTAAAAGCTAATGTATTAAAATTTACAGATTCTGTTGCATATAGGAAAACCATAAGTAGCACTTCTTTAAAATCCTCTCTGTGGATTTTTTTAAATTGACTTTAGAGAAGGAGGAGGAGAAAAACATCCTTCAGTAGTCTTCCATATGCACTCTTGACTGGGAATGGAACCCTCAAGGTGTATGGGACAACACTTCAACTGAGCCACCCAAAATATAATTGGCATTCCACAGTGTACACCTATTTACCATAGCCTTAGGTTAGTAAATACATTAAATCTTGTTTCCAACCTAATTTTAAATTCCCCATGAAAATCCTATTCTTCTAGAATCTTAATTTCTCAATAAGGACCAGAGAACCACGAGCCAAAATCTTCAGAGCGAGGATCCAGAAGTGACAACTTACAAAATGAATGCAGCTAGAGCTATTGAGTCTCTTTCCACCCAACCCATTTATCATCAACTATTCAGCAAAAAATACACCTGTTAGCTAGTCATGTGACCACTACAATATTTCTGAGGAAAAAGGTACCTAGTCAAACACATCAGGGAAATAGTTCTGAAAATTCTTAATGCACTGCAGCACTTTAAGGTTCATAATTCCTAACTTGGCTCATTTAACCAAAAATGACAACCACTATTTACCCTTTATTTAAAGCTATTACCCAATTCTACAGGAAGACTTTGGAAAATAATTTCCGTAAAACTCCCCCATACAACCTTGTCAAACTTGTAAGTCCCTACTTACTCTTCATCGTCGTCGTCCTCATCGTCATCCTCCTCATCATCTTCAAGTTTTACTTTTTTCTTTAAAAAAGAAAAAAAGAAAAAAAGACCTCATGAGCAAGTGCCCAAACTGAAGGCCAGAATAAGGTACCTGTAATAAATTACATCTATACCTGAGGAACCTTGCTACCACCTCCAGGGGCTGACCGCTTTCCAGACATACTTAGGAGTTTCACATCTTCCTCCTCGTCTTCTTCTGACTCTGCATCTTCCTCCACAGCTAAAATAAATTTCTTTATTAGTCACTACTAAAACTCAACCTAAAAGCAATAACTCAGGGGGGAAAAGGACATTAATATACAGTAATGAGTATTTTAAAAAATTCTACTACTTAAAAGAGGCAAAAAGCAAACACATTTTTTACAAAGAGGAACTATGAGACCTAACACTCATTACTAGGTTTCAAATGCAATGTAACAGGTGTTTCCAGATATAAATTAGTAATATAACTATTAGATTCCCATTTGAAGCTCTATAAAGACAGCAATCCAGCAGGAAAAAGGTAACTACATAAAAGATAATAAAAATAACATACCTACTAAGTGCTGTCCACTAATATGCACAGGCCCTGAACCACACTTCAACCGCAACACCACAGGTGGTGTTATTTCAAAGCCGCCAAGGGAAACCTAAAAGAGATTTGAAATCACTAAATACTGTAAAGAAAATAAAAGTTAAATGTTCTGAAATAAAGCCTTCTCATAACTTACAAATGTTTGTGTTACAGGCTCGACAGGCAAATCCATAAACCAAATGAGCAAACCAATCAACCTGTTTTCCCACCTGATACACAAGAGCAACCACCATGTTCCAGTGTTCACCATTCAACCCCGCAGCAACAACCCTCGCCCGTCTCCCGGTGTAACCTGCCCCGAGGTAATAGAATTAGACCCTGCACATTACAAGTGCCCTTACCGTTGGCTGTACAGACATTTTCAAAGTTGCCAGTGTTACTTTAATGGGACTGCCTTCGTAATTCATGGCCTCTGCTTCGACAATGTGCAGCTCATCCTTTGCTCCAGCCCCTAGACTGACCTGGGAACAGAAAAAGAGCACTGCAACTTAGCTTTCTGTATATGTTCAAAGTTACTTATAAACTTTTCGTTATTACCACTAATGGAAAACTAATCTATGCACAATTAATATTATTTTCAAGTTTTATGGGACTTTGACAATCAATTTCTCATACTCAGTAAATTTGAACAAACGCATGAAGATGCATTTGATAACATACAGGGTGTCCCCAAAAATACATACACTCTAAGAGCTGATTTTGGAAATGAAATACATTTTAATAAATACTGCCTTTACAATTATTCAACGCGTGTATATATTGGGGGGAGGGAGAGGACACCCTATAGTTGTACATGTCATCACCTATCCACAATATGATTACCGTATTTTCCGGCGTATAAGACGATCTCCTAATTTTACAGTTAAAACATTGGTTTAGGCCTATATTCACTGTATAAGACTACCCCCCACTTCAAAGAAAAGACTTACTTTGCCGTCAAGATCTGCAGGTAATTTTTGTGCAATTTTGGTCTTTTGCCCCCGATTTTCGGTTGACTTTTTTGTTTCAAAAGTCGTCTTATACACATACACCGGAAAATACTACCCAACATTTATTGACCACTTACAAATTGAGCAGCAGGCTATGGGATAGTCTCTGCAGGGGACAAAGAACATTTAACACTACCCTAAAAGTCTTTCTAAGGCATATTAAGTATATAGAAATATAAAAAGTTGAACAGTAGTGTAACTGGACTTTTACATGATTATCAAAGGAGTGGTAAAAATACCAAGTTTTGTATCACAGGTATACAGAAAATCAGTAAACAATACCCAGTTATAAAAATACTATAATAAAAATTTGAGCTCAATGGATAGAGCATCGGCTTGGGGACTGATTCCCGTCAAGGGCATGTACCTTGGTTGCGGGCACATGCCCGGTAAGGGGTGTGCAAGAGGCAGCTGATCGATTACTCTCTCTCATGGATGTTTCTAACTCTCTCCCTTCCTTTCTGTACAAAATCAATAAAATATATATATTTTTTTAAATTGGGTATTAAGCCACACAAATAGGAACTAAGGCTGAAATCAAGAAAGGTTTAGTAGTTTATTTTGAGAAGTTTAATTACCGTTCGTAAAGATAACTGGTGCTCATTTTCATCATTATCCACCTTGAAGTGATAATCTTTGTCGGCCTTTAGTTCACAACCTGTAAATGAAGAAAAAGAGCAACTAAAACACGGAGAAAAAATACTGAAACTTGTGTGGGTAACCAAAAAGGAAACGATTAACTTGTGGCTTTTCACCATTCTACCCAAAGGCCTCTCTTCCTAGATTCTGGAAGACAAACATCCATACAGGCCTTAACATATCCCTAGGACATGTCTACTCTTGCCTTCAACACAACTTCTGAACATAACTTAATGTACATCCTTCAGCGATGGTATGTCGACATATCCTAGGGAATAGTTCCAATAGAAAGGACCAACAAAGATACCTTGATATAAGTTGATCAAAAACCCCGCTATTCAAAATGGCTAGAAATAAAAGCATTAAAGTACACCGCATATTACCTACTCTACCAATAAGCAATTAAGTCATCCAAGTAAAATTTTTATTCATTTAAATGACCCCATTTAATTGCAACCTAATAGTTACTGGTACATAGATGCTTAAACGTTATTGCTCTATTAACAAACCTCAGCATGGCATAAGCAACAAAATAAACTTGGGGCAGAATCTGCAGTGACTGGCTGACCCTAAGAAATGGCTTCAACAAGTTTACTGGAAACCAAATTCGGCTCTCTCCTTAGTATGATATGCATTGTGTCCTGGGAAGAGGCGAAATCCCAAAACCTGGGTATAGAGTATAGCAACAGTACCGGGTCTTACTGACCCACATTGAACCTTAGCACATGCCTCATCTTTAAAAAAAAAAAAAAAAAAAAAAAAAAAAAAAAAAAACCTGTTTGCACAATTCCCCACATAAGGCATCCTAACCCTCCAAAAACAAAAAAATTTATAATTCGCCAGTTCTGGAGTCAAGAATCGTGGTGTAGAACGTATCCATTTACCTACAAGTACAACCTGCCCTAAGGCACTCGAGTTCTGAGCATCACCATGGCCACCTGCCTAAGGGGCGACCCACCTCCCGCGGTGACGTCCGGGGAAAGGGCTCCATGCAGGGCTGGCTGAACAAAGGCCTCCACCATCCAGGTCCTACCCACCGCCTCACCGACCACTCCCCGCCCCACAGCCCCTGGGAAGCCCCAGGATCCCGGGCTCCCGGGTGACAAGGCGACAGAGAGCCCCGGATGTGGCGCCCACACCCCTCCTTCCCCCGACCACGTGGCGACCACGTGCTCCCGGCGCCTGCGCCTCCTCGGGCCGGGCCGGGCCGCGCTCCCCTCCCCCTGGAGCCCGCCGAGGCCCCGGGGCGTCTGGGCGCCGGAATTCCCGAGGCCTGGAGAGCCAGGCCAGGCGCTCGCATCCCCTCCTCCGGGAACAAGGCCCGCGCCTCGCACCGCGAGCCCACACGACCTGCCGCCCCAGCCGGGGGCCCTGCACCAAGGCTCTGGCCGGCAATCCAAAGCCTAGGAACTCGCACACCCCTTGGCGGAAAAAAAAAAAAAAATGACGCCTGGAGCTCCAGTTCACCCCCGTCAACGCTGAGCCCTCAGCCAGCCGGTCCGAAGGAAACCCACACTCCATGGGGCTCGGACCGCTACCCCCAGGCTTCAGCACGCCCCTCCCTCCCATCCCTCAGAGCTCACCCCTCCTGGCTCTCCATCCCTCCCTCAGGCTGCAAGGCCCCGGCGGCTCGCCTCCCGCCGCCTCAGGCCTCAGGCCTCCCGCCCGCCTCGCTTCTTTCCTCCACAGCCCGGCCTCAGCCGCATTCCCGCCCCCCCACCTCCAAGCCGCTAGGCCCGGCTCGGCCTCGCTCCAGCCCCCCCAGTCCTTACCGAAAAGGTAGTTCTGGGGCCGCAGAGGGCTCATGTCCATGTCCATAGAATCTTCCATGGGGTGGGCGCACGCACTTGGGTGTCAGAGAAGGCGGGCGGAGAGAAACGGCGCCGGTGCTGCAGCGGAGCGGACGCGCAGGACGGAATCGCACCAGGGAAAGGACGCGGGCTCTCTGCGTACCTATAAAGCACCAGGAGGTCTCGCGAGAGTTCCCGAAGTCTCGCCGCCGCGCGCGCGCGCGTGCTCGAGAGCCCCCTCTTCCCGCACGGGAGCCCTCCTGCGCAAGCGCTCTCCTTCCTTCCGCGCCCCCCGCCTCCGCCAGGTGCTGGAGGGGCTGCCGCCGGGCACGCGCACTCCTCAGCGGGCCCCACCCCTCCGCCGCCGCCGCTGCCGCTGCGCACGCGCACTTTCTCCCCCCCACCCTCCGCCCCCGGCAGCGCGCGCCCCCTCCCCTTCCCAGCTCCGCTCGTCCAGCTCGTGCGCGCGGGCCTGGCGCCAAAAGTCTGCGCAGCCCACCCTGCAAGATGGCGGCGGCAGCCCTCGGCCTGGCAGAGGCGTGTGGAGGTTGTGAGCCAGAGAGCCGCTCCACTCACCTCCCCCCGCCCCTCACGCCCCGCGGGCCTCCAAACCGGCAGAACCGGGATTTGTGATTTGCCCGCAGGGCCTGGGCTCACAGTTCCCTGTTCTCCCGAGTGAGAGCCTCAGGTGCCGACTCCGGAGGAGTCTTTGTTGGGAAGAAAGGATGATGTAGCTGCTGGCCAGACTGCCTCAGCTCCGTGCTTGCGGAGGGAGCACCTCCCAAGCTGAAATCCCGCATCTTTGCGTCATGGTGGGGCCTGAAAGCCGGGCACTGAGTCAGCCTCTTTTGTATGCACCCAGGGCAGGAGCCGGGCCTGGGAGGCTAAAAGGGGTGTATACCCCCAGTGGGTACCCGCTCGGTCCGGGAGGCAGAGGTGACTGTGCCCACTTTGCAGACAAGGGAAGGAGTGGCGAGGAGGAAGGTGCCCAAACCCAGGAGAGGAGAGAGTTCTCCAGCTCATATATGCAGACTGCTCGGTATCTTTGTACATCTGTCCTTAGGGATGTCTAGTAGCTCCATCCCCAAGGATATCTGCATAAATATATGCTAAGAAATAGGCTTGTGCCCTAGCTGGCTTGGCTCAGTGGGTCCCAAGGGTCCCAAGTTCGATTGAGGCCAAGGGGGCTCAATCTCCAGTGGGGGTCCTGCAGGAGGCAGCCAATCAATGATTTTCTCTCATCATTGATGTTTCTATCTCTCCTTCCTTCCTCTCTGAAATCATTAAAGAAATACCTATTAAAAAAAAAAAAGAAAGAAAGAAATGGACTTGCATAGGAGGACAGGTATTTACTTACAAATGTATATACATGTAATTGCATCTTTGAACTGTTTACATAACATTGTCTTAGTGTCTGTTTGGGCTCCTATAACAAAATACCACAGGCTGGTATAAATAACTATTAACAACGTTAAGTGACATTCAAACCTCTAAAGACTTTTTGTGAGTTTATTTGAGCCAAATGGTTGACAATTGCCAGGCAGGAACCAGCATCTCAATGAACTAGGATAATGTTCGAGAGAATGGTGGTTTTCACCTTGTTTTATACATTACAATCAAAAGGGGTTATATAAAATCCATTGGTGATAGATTAGGGAGGCGGAAGAAAGCAAAGAAGGGGAGGGGAATCTGGGATTGGATAAAAAGTAAAATTATAGACGCAAGCTTCTCGACATAGGGTGGGGAACAAGATAACAATAACAATGAGGATTTGTGGTATCCGCCCTGGGGCCCTAGCACATCGTTGTGCCCTGGAGGAGTCCAGAAGAAAGGAAACTTACAAGTTCCACTCAGGTGCAAAAAGACAATAGGCTCAGAAAAGTTTATCTTTGGGAAGATATGGCCTAGGACTTGACTCCCCACTAAACAGCTTTTTAATTGGTTTTCATTTCGGACCATCCTTTGGGGTTACTTTAGTCTGGAGTTTGCAAGGCCGCCCGCCACGCAGGTCTCTCCTGAGCTGGTCAGGTTAGCATGTGGCCCCTTTGCTCCCACACAACAGAAGTTTGTCACAGTTTTGGAGGTTGGAGCCAAGATAAGAGTGCCATCACGGTCAGGTTGCAGGCTTCTGGTTGTAGCCTCAGATGGCATCAGGGGCTAGGGCAGAGGTCGGCAAACTGCGGCTCGCAAACCACAGGCGGCTCCTTGGCCCCCTGAGTTTTTTAGCAAAGGCCAGCTTAGGAGTACCCTAATTAAGCCAATAACAATGTACCTACCTATATAGTTTTAAGTTTAAAAAATTTGGCTCTCGCCGAGACCAGTTTGGCTCAGTGGATAGAGCGTCGTTCTGTGGACTGAAGGGTCCCGGGTTCGATTCAGGTCAAGGGCATGTATGATACATTGGTTGCGGGCACATCCCCAGTGGGGGATGTGCAGGAGGCGGCTGGTCGATGTTTCTCATCGACGTTTTTGGCTCTCTATCCCTCTTCCTTCCTCTCTGTGGAAAAATCAATAAAATATATTTTTTTAAAAATTCGGCTCTTAAAATAAATGTCAGTCGTTGTACTGTTGATATTTGGCTCTGATGACTAATGAATTTGCTGACCACTGGGTTTGAGCATCATCTCTATGCCAGGGTTTCGGGTTCAGTCCCTTGTCAGGGCACATACAAGAATCAGCCAAGAAATGCACAGAGATTGCTGCAAAAGACCAAGACGACCAAGGACACTTCTGGGGAAGGAGGAGGGACACTGATTAATACGCTGGCGGACTCAGGGAACAGCCTTCCAAACCTGAGTGAAGGATCAGGGTGGGGCCCTCCCTTACACCTCCCTCCCTGTGAACTTTGTCCCACAAGCATGGATTATGTTTCTGGTCCTTTTCTCGGGCCTTGCAAGAAGGCCCCCAAGTGTTGGGAGTCTCCAGGCGATATCTGATGGTCTGGCCTGGCGTCAGCGTTAATAGCCCTCCCTCCGGGCAGTGCACCGTCCACAGCCCAAGGGCCTCTGTAAACGGCTCTGCAAGACCAGTATCTGGGAAGGAGAGGGCCTTAATTATAGGCTATCAGGAATGTACACCGAGCTTGCTGACTTGGATTCAGGTCACTAGCATCCAAATATGAGGATTACATTGGAATTACCCCTGGAGGTAGAGGGATGAGGACAAGGGTGAAGGCGGGGGAGGATAGGGGAGGTCAGTGGGGGAAGAGGGGGGGGGGGGGAAGAGACATGTACTACTATTTGTAATACCTTAATAAAATTTTAAAAATAAAAAATTAAGTAAAAACATACTTAAAAAAAGAAATGCACAAATAAGTGGATGTTTCTCTGTCTCCCTCCCTCTCAAATCAATCAATAAATTTTTTTTTAAAGATTTCTATGGTGGATGAATAGCCATTGGAGAAGTGTCATTAAATCAATCTGTCAGCAGACAGCAGCAAGGAATAGAGTGAAGCTGATGCTCTTTCCATCCCAACGCACACAGGAGACTAACCCGGAGCTCTGGCTTGAGTAAAAGATTGCCAGGACATGTGGGTGTTGTTTATCATCTTATGGAGACCCTCCTCTCTGAGGTAAATTATTTCGTTGCAAAGATGCTTTCTTACACGTGATGCTGTCTTATGGCAGCCTTGCTGAGATTTGCCATCGAGCCCTCTAACCAAGAGGCAGGGACAGCTCACCAGCTCCATTTCCCTGCAGGAATGTCTGCACCGATCCCTTACAGGGAGCCTTAAGCAAAAGGGTTGATAGGAAAAGTCGCCGTTTCTTTTTCATTTGGAACATGTTGGAGAAGGTTTGCAGGGCAGGCACTACAGGAAGTTAACGGGCATTTTAGCCATTTTCTCAGGCTCTGGGTTCAGCCTTGAGTCAGGTGACAAAGTGCACCATCCACACATACTCCGGGAGGCAGCTAACCCAAGCCTATGCATGGTAGCCCATTCCCCGTCTCCACACTGGAGAAAAGCACCCAAGAGAGGCACTGAGGAGAGGAGAGTCCTTTGAAAGGAAGTGAGGACTTTCCCTCCCCTTCACGTTGAATCCGGAGGCTCCACTAGCCCCGGTGCTGCCATGGACTGGAGCAAAGGGTGGTGAGGCAGTTCTGGAAAACGTGACCTGAGTTCCTGGAATTTAGATGGGACCACAGACTGCTGCCTGATTCTCTTAAAAAAATAATAATAATTTATTTGTTGATGTTCTGTCTCTATCTCAGAGAGAGGAAGAAACAGAACATCAACAAATAAATTAGAGAGCAAAAGACAGAACATCATTGATTGGCTGCCCCCTACTGGCCCCTACCGGGGATGGAGCCCACAACCTGGTGCATGTGCCCTTGGTGGGAATCGAACCTAGGACCCTGTAGTCCGCAGGCCGACTCTCTATCCATGAGCCAAACCAGCCAGGGCCTGCCTGACTTTTTTTCTTTTAAATATATTTTATTGATTTTGTACAGAGAGGAAGGGAGAGAGAGAGTTAGAAACATCGATGAGAGTCATTGATCAGCTGCCTCTTGCACACCCCCTACTGGGGATATGCCGGAAACCAAGGTATTATACGTGCCCCTGACCGGAATTGAACCCGGGACCCTTCAGTCCCCAAGCCAATGCTCTATCCATTGAGCCAAACCAGTTTCGGCCCTGCCTGACTCTTATCCTGGGAAAGTCTGTGATGGCAAAGCAAAGAGAGCTGTAGTGGGCGCCTTGGCCTGCGCTTCCAGCATTTGGCACATCCAGCAGCAGCCCAGTGTGAAAGTCTTACACACACCTTACCGAGAGGACTGGTCTGCTGGAGGCAGCCCCACACTTATAAAGGCTGTCCCCCCGCAACACCCCCCCCCCCAAAAAAAAAATGCATCGCAGAAATAGAACAAGGAACTTTTCTGTATCTTTCATCCAGGTTCCTCCAACGTTACCATCCTACATAATCACGGTACGGTGATGAAAGCCAGGAAATTAGCGCTGATACAATAGCATTATCGGATCTATAGACCTCACTCCGGCCTCACCAGTCCCGCTAAATAGCCCTCTTCTGTGCGTTTAGCTGT